AAGAAGAAGAAGAAGAAGAAGAAGAAGAAGAAGAAGAAGAAGAAGAAGAAGAAGAAGAAGGAAGAGATAATTTTAGAAGTCTGATTTGGATCCAGAAGGGGATTTTCTGGAACAGCATGAGGTATGGCATTGAGATGCTGAGGGAAGAAAAAGAGATATATGGCCATACAAGCATGCATCTTCTGATCTAAATTTTCCCCTCAAAGGACCTTTTAAGTTTTTACCCAACTAGTGTTAAAAAAAACTCAAAGGGAAGGAACTGGCCTTGGAAGAGATGTATCTCTTTAAATCTTTTCCTATCCTTTCAGATCTTTGGATGACTTTGTTTTGCATTCAGGAATGAACTTGACAAGCTATGTTAATTAAATGAACATAATCTGTGATGGCATCAGGGCTTAAGTCCAAGGTAAACTCTCCAGAATGGCTTCAGGGCCAAAACAGCTCAGAGACTTTTCCTCATATAACTCCTAAAAGCCACTACACAAGGACCAAATAGCCAATACTGTTGCAACTCTTTACTTATTGAAGGTTAGGAAATCTTTCTTCACTTAAACAGTATTGCTTTTGAGGGGTAGTTACAGCACATATCACCCAAATCAGTTTATGGAGTCCAGTCCCAGGAAACCAGGCAGTCAGAGGGGTTCCTAGTTCAGCTTAGTTGCTGTTTTAGATCTCTCTTCATGTAGGGGAAAATGGAATGAATGAGCATGAATGCTGTTTCTTTTTGCTTTGCTTCCTTCACCTACTTGAAAGTTTTTCAAGGAGTCTCAACTTGTTTGTTTTGCTTCTTGGTTTCAAATATAATTGAGCAAAAGTTCCCAGTGCAAATTCAATCCCATGCCTTAAATATATGGCTTAAATCAGTTCTTCTTTTAACTGGATCGTGTCTTTATTTGGGCATTGTAATTATTTCCTATTTATATTCCAAAGCCTATGTCTAATGCCCATATTTTTCATTGGCTTACAACATCTTTGTGATTCAGACTTCAACATGCAAAATTGTTCTTTAAAGCAAAAGGAAATGAGGGTCTCTTCTTAGAGGAAAAGTATCAGTACTAGCAGTGTTTTCTCGGCTTTTATAGGAGAGTTCAGGCAACCTATTGGCAAAAGGCAATTCCATTTATTATTGAAGAGAATCTCAAGGCAGTTGTTTGGAGGTTGCAAAGCTAGCAGACAGAGCTAGATGAAGTGGGAAGAGGAGGGGCACACGTTATGTTCCAGATGACTGAACGATTTATACATCAGCTCGCCTTTTTACATGAAGAAGAAAAGTAATAACAGCACAGACCCAGGCAGATGCCTGATGACTAATGGGATAGGTGGGAAGGAGCTCTCTGATTGGATGTCTTAATGAGCACATTTTGCACAGAGTTTGGGCTGCAGTTCCCCTTGACCTTTGCCCTTTATTGACCGAACTGACACTTCATTTTTCACATACTTCCAATTATGGCTCAGCTTAAGTGTTGCCCTCACTCTTTTAGTTCTTTCCTATATGGACAAGTTGAG